AAACCCGAAGCGCTTGCCCAACATCTTGTTGCTGATGTTTGGAATTCAGTTGATCTTCCGCCTCTGGACTCCACGCCTTTGTATCCGCCCCAAGACTGTAACCTTCAACCCTTCACAATAGCTGAACTCTATGGAGCGCTCAAGCGGTCTAAAGTCGGAAAAGCACCTGGCCCAGATTCTATATCCATGGATTGGATAAAGGTGTCTCCCTTACAGTTTAAACATTTACTCCTAGCTCATTATAATTCTTGTTTCTTCGCCGCTGACGCTCCAGACAGTTGGAAGTTGGCTCGCGTAGCCATGATCTACAAGGGTAAAGGAAAAGATCCGCGATCACCATCTAGTTATCGTCCAATCTCACTAGCCAATTCCTTTTACAAACTATATGCTTCAATGCTCCAACACCGCATCGCATCTTCGATTGATTATATTCTGTCACCCCATCAGTTCGGCTTTCGTAAATCAAGATCTACTTCAACTCCGGTCTTTTTGATTCGGAGACTTCTCGAACATTTTGAACGTCATACTACATCTCTCTACCTTTTATTCCTGGACTGGCAGCAGGCTTTCGACTCGGTCTCCCGCGAAGCGGTGCAGACAGCTCTTGTTAGGTATGGCCTCCCAGAGGCGATAATCAACCCGGTCATGGCCCTCTTTCAAGACTGCAAATTCTTTGTCCAGGACGGGTCTTTCTGCTCGGAAACATATTCCCAAAATCGTGGGATCCGCCAAGGCTGCCCACTTTCTCCGTACCTTTTCATCGTTCTTCTTTCTTCTGTTATGGCTGATGTATCCATTCAATTCCAAAATTCTTATGGTTATACCCCTTGGGTCCACTCAGCTGCGCACCCTCTGCAGCATCTTGAATTCGCAGATGACACAGCTCTCATGTCTCGCAGTCACACCACCATCCACCGCCTGCTTCATATCCTCCAGTTCCAGGCTTCCAAACGGGGCCTGCTCCTCAACCCTGATAAATGCCAACTCCTTCGGTTGCATACGGACCATGATGTTTTGCTTTCTACTACTTTCACGCCGTCTCGTCCTTGTCAGTGTCAACATTGTGGGGGCACTGATCCATTGCCCCATCCTTGCCAGGTGGTGGACCATCCTACCTACCTTGGCATTGTTCTTGATGCCTCTGCGTCCTCTTCTCCTGACTGCCTGCGCCGTTTCAGCCAGGCCTCCTCAGCCTTCCGATCCCTCTTCCCACTTTTCTCCAACAAATCCATCACCGTTAAAAGGCGACTGCAACTACATAACCAGATTGTTCTGGCAATATTGCTGTACGGTTCTGAGTCACAAACATACACTCCAGCCCAGCTCCAGAGATTCAACGCGCTGCACTTCAAGGTTCTGCGTCAAATATTTGGCGTCAAAAGTTCGTATTATCACCGGGTTCTTGCCCCCTCTTCAGATAGTTGTTCCAATGCTTTTCTAGCACGCAAAGCAGCTGCATCTCTCCCCAATCAGCTTACTCCCTCGCAAATTATTTCTCAAAAACGCCTGCAGTATTTGGGACATATCATGCGCCACCCTTACTCGCTTGAACATGCCATGATATTTGGCCCATCTCATTCATTCTTGCGATTATCTTCTCCTTACAGACGTGGAGCTCCCAGAGCCCACTGGTATGAACTGGCATTCACTGAAGCGTACCACCGGGTACATCTTGTAACTATGAACCAACATCCGCGTCCTTATGAAATTCACCACCCTGGGTATCGAACAGCCACCTTGGACCTCCATAAAAGCTACCAAGGCTCCCATATGCCTACCTGGTTTGACAACACCAAACAATTCAGACAAATTTCTCCATTTTGGCAGGATCAAAGTAAATGGGGTCAATTAGTAAACCCTTACTGCCAGCATACTTAGCTTGTGTGCCGCTGTCATGTTTTCCGAACAGTAACACGGAAAGCATTGCGCGAGTCAAAAAAAGGGAGCTTTATGTTAAAAATAATTTTATTTATGTTTTTTAAATGATTTTAATATGATTAATTTTATGATTTGTTTTTTTTTCGTTTTTTTTTAAATATGATGAAATTTATGATGAAATATATGTTTTTTTTTCCTCGTTCTGGCATTTTTATGATTTTTTAATGATGTTTTTAAGTTTTTTTTTAAAATGATTTTTTTAAATGTTTTTTATTGTTTTTTTAATGATTTTTCTCGGCATGAAAAATCATTAAAAAAACATTGAAAAACATAAAATAATCATAAAAAATCATAAAAATCAGAAAATCATAAATTTTTATTTTTTAATGATATTTTTTATGTTTTTTTTTAATGTTTTTTTTTATTTTTTTTTATGATTATTTTTTTGTGTTTTTCTACTTTTTTCTTCGAAACCAAGTGAAACTAAATCATAAATTTCATCATAAAAAAATCATAAATTCAACCACAAAAAAATCATAAAAAATCATATCTGAAAATTTCCCGTTTTTTCCGACATAGTGAAATCATAAAAAAATCATAAAAAATCATAAATAAAATTATTTGTATAATTCTTGTTTAAACTAACGTTTAAAGTCTCAAGACTAGTTCAATTGACTGTGGCCACGGGCCACCATTGGGATGTGCATGCAATTGAAAGGATGTTCAAGAGATGAGCACAATGATCCTGACCCGCTTGCAGGTGGAACCAATGTGAATGTGCAGCTGGTGTGGTGGTCGATGGCAGAATGGACGTCTTCCACAATGTGGTCAGTAGCTGCAGCATGGGTTCTATTCTGCATGGTGCTGGTGGCAGGCACTACTACGTTGGTGGTGGCTCTGGTTTATCTCTGCGGTGGACTTCTGATTTGGCAGCACTATGGATTTCTTCGAAGTTTTGCACTTCGAAACGCTTCCTGGATGATTGGATTCAGGTGGACATGGCTTATCAAGCCTGTGGTGTGGAGTGCGTGGTGGCTTCTGAGGCAGGAGATTTTTGTATCTCCATGCAAAGTATCAAGAAGCTGGTCAGTCAGGCGACATGATGGTGGACATTGAGACACTGTATGATGGAATAGATTGGATAGATGAATATCGGACTGGTGGAGCTAATGCCGTGGGAGCAGCAGCACTTTTGGAATCACCACTACCGCCAGCAGAGATGGAAGCAGAACCGGTTGTCAATCAGGAGAACGAACCTTTTGAAGGCCAAGATATTGCAGAAGTTGCTCTACAGCGCGTGCGTTTGAATGGTGTGCATGCTGATCGAACGATTGGTGAGACTGAGAATGATGAGCAGTACGACCAGATTGCAGGCCCAGCTGGATCAGATGAAATGGAGGTTGATGAGACAACCTCTCAGCGCAGACAGCGCTACCAAAGTTCAGGACAAGATGAGGTGAGCGATCCAGATGAGTGGGCTGAGTTGCATTTTGGTGGAATGGATTGGGATAACCATCAGCGTATGGTGGCATTTTCTGATGCCAATCAACTACGTTTGAGAAGAGCAATGCAATCATTGGAACAGAGACGTGAAACAACTGAAGCCCAAGGAAATTGGGCAGAAGCAGCAGAATATACACGTTTTATGGCAGAAGTTCAGAACCTCATGGACATCGCTTAGCAGATGGCAATCAGAGCACGAGACGTAACACTGTTTGCCACAGTCTACATGGCTGAAATGATGAAAAACGGCTGATAGATTTTTTTCCTAGAACTAATTCGAGAGCAAAATTTAAAGCACAGATGGCATGGTAAGGCGCCAGAATTGCATGGAAGAATATGTGGAGAAACTTTAAAAAAATTCTCCAAGGTGGGGTGTCAGATTTCATTCATGGCACTCATGCATGGTTCTAGGAGTCTGAGCTGATACAGAGAAGATTAGCATGGCCAGTCTCTGCACAAGGATGACACGCACAAATGTGCATTCATGGGCCGAACAAGTGGCTCAAAATCAGCAAGGAAAATAGGGTTTGAGTGGCGCGTTGCTATTTGACAATATATATGTACATATCTCCAGAATACCTTCCACGGACATGCTATAGGCCAGGACAGAGACTCAAATGTACTTACGTCATGGTGTAGTCAAAAGTGGGTTAACGGTGAGGTTCAGGATGGAAATGAACATCACGGTTTTGATGTCATGACATTCCAAAACAGGATGTTTATACCTTGCGCGCAAACATTTTGCATGGTTATCTTTCACTTCCATGCCTCCTGGCACTTCACCGTAAAAAAACTATGACTGGAGGAACAAGAATCCGTTGGACTCTCACAATCGGAGATGTTGGGATCGTTAGATACCATATCTTCACAAAAACAGCAGCAACAACACCCCCAAAGTAACGATAGTGTGAAAATGATTGCCAAAGAATTGTCATTCATTGTGTGTCATGTTTTGAAAACCATGGTGGCATGCAGATACCATCACCACGGTGGCACCTGTGATTTTGTGATACGTACAGATCAAGGAACGTTTGAACCTATCTTTGTTAGGCATGATCCATATTTCACCCCTTGCTTGCCCACTTTGGTTCGTCCCTTTCCCCGTGTGTTGAATGTTGGTTCCAAATTTGTTTTTGGCAGTAGTGTTCACCCCAACAATCCATTGATAAACTGTCAAACCGGAGAAAAACAAATTGATTTCGTTTGCCCGATATGTAGTCACGCAACATCATTTGTGAAATGTTTTTGCCATGTGAATTCATGCCGATCCTTCCCACTTCCATCCGCAGCCATGATTACACAAAGCAACGAATCATTTGGGTCGTTTGCGAGTGCTGCCGCCCGATTGCAGCGCCGGACGCTTAACATAACTGGTTGTTGAAGTGGCATTGTTTGTTCCAGCTGGTCTTGCGTTTGTGGACACGGCAATCTTCAAGAGATGTTTGCTGAACCATTTGCCAGTAAATTTGCAGATCTTTCAATTTGCAGGTTGAAATTGAGCCAAATTTAAAGGCACGGCTCTTATGTTTGCTCTCATTTTGCAATGCAAAACTCTGGTATGGCAACGAAGTGGAACATTTTGCCTAACATTTTGACAGTTTTGTGCACAGGCGTAAATTATGCAACCCCTGGCATACTTCGCTGTGAGGAGGCAAATATGTGGGTTGGTATCAATTTGCCACAGGTTCAGTTACAAACAAATGACGAAACACGGTAAACCTGGCAGTTTGCTTGGATGGCTGCAATGGGTGGAGAAAGCAGAGCACGCCTTCATTAGCAACCCTTTACTGCTTGCTTGAAACTTAGCAACAGGCATTAGTGTTATTGTATGATTTGGAAACGTTCACCAAACTGCTGACAAATTTCAGTTGCCCCTGAATTAAGGTAGCAGCTGGAGCTGCGCATTGTTGGGCAGCTGGACACTTTGAGGGACTTCAAACTGATGTTGAGACTCTTGTCCTGTTCAGGGCCTGGCTCAAGAACTCCCATTCATTTCTGTGTCTCGAGGTTGTTTACGCGCTGTTCATTGCCATTCACACCCGGGCCATGCGATTCGAGGGTTCCAGACTTGGTTTTCCACAGGGATCAGAGCGCCGCGTAGCGAAGTTACTTGCAATGTCGCTTGTTGCACTGCCATGGTTTCTATCAACACACTGCCCCACCCACTTCACCATGGAGAGCTTGTCGCCCAAAATCGCAATCCAAGGATATCATGAAGGTTACACCGAACACTTGCCATTCTGGGTATCTTGGACAGAAAATTTGGCAGCCAGAAACTCAGGCAAATGGACAACCAGACTGCCAGTTCCAATTGGCACAAACTAAGCAACAAGTTTTTTAGTGTGCATTCACAAAAAATTAAATACAGTTGCAGTTTACATTGTAGTAAACAATATATGTGTAACGTGTACATATATATATATACACACTGTGAAACTGACATGTCTTACCCGGATCCTTGCATTGCTTCCACACCATATGGCAGTGAAACCCACCGAAGGCACCCTTGCTCGAAGCTAGGGAAGGTGGGCGGGACTTCTTGCACTTGGGAGTGCATACGGTCAAAAGGGTGTGCCATAGGCCTGGCGGCCGCGCTGCGCTGTTAGCTGGTGGGACCATCTACTTTATCGACATTATCATCTTTCAGTGGGATCTGAAACCATTTTGGCTAGGTGGCCTACTCTTTGTTTTCCATTGGTTGGACCAATCATCCGCTGCCAGTGTGGGAGGGTCGAGTACCTTTCACACTGGTAGCGGAGCCTGAAGCTCCGTTGCCTCGGCATTGGAAGAGCGGGAGATCCAGGGCATGGCTTCGACCCTTCCTCCTGTCCCTGATGACGATGCACCACCTCAGTCCTCGGTGGCTCAACTTCCTTGGACAGCCATACCAAAGTTCCAACCTGGTGTTACCAATGTCCAGGACTATGTGAAGAAAATGGAATTCTTGGCACACATGTGGCCTGCAGAACATTTGGATCTGTTGGCGCCCCGGGCGGCGTTGTTGGTCGAAGGATCAGCATTTGCCACAGTGTCCAAGTTGAGTGCCACGAAACTGAAGGTGAAGAGTCTCGAAGGTGTCAAGGCTTTGATCAAAGCCATTGGAGGTAGCTGGGGTGCTACCGATTTTGAGGAGCGTTTTGAGTACTTTGAGAAGGCTTTGTACGGGATCACCCAAAAGTCTGATGAATCCAATGATAGCTATGTCAGCCGGATGGAAGCTGTCTTCACCGAGCTTCTTGCGAGAGGCACATCATTGGAAGAAGTGCAGGCATATGTGCTCCTGCGCCAAAGCACTTTGAGTAGCGAAGACAAAAAGCGAGTGCTCCTAGAGAATCCTGAGTTGAAGTATGCTCCAACAGTCAAGGCTCTACGCCTCCTTGGAAGCCGTTTCTTCCATGAAGTGCAAACAGGAAAACCAACCCAGAAAACCAAAGTGTATGATACCATGATGGCTGAAGGGAATGATGATGAGGGCTCCGGCCCTATCCCGCAATCAGCGCTTGTGATGGAAGATGATGACATCTCCACCGAGTACTTGGAGGCCATGCTGTCCCAGGATGACCCTGACGCTGTGATGGTGCAGGCATTTGAGACGGAGTTTGAAGATTTTGTTCAAGGGACACCATCCATGCAGACAGCTTTGGTGAGTTACCTGGAGGCACGTCAGAGACTCCAGGACAAGCGCCGATCGCGTGGCTTCTGGCCGGCAGGCCATTCCAAGTCCAACTTCAAGGGCAAAGGCAAGGGAGGCAAATCCTTTTCCAAGGGCCAGGGCCGTCAAAACCTCCTGGCCAAGATTGCGAAGAGTCGATGCCGCCATTGCAACCAGCTTGGCCATTGGAAGGCTGAGTGTCCTTTGAGGGAGAAGGAGAACCTTGGACCACCTTCAGCATCAAGCGGACCGCCAGCAGCTGCGGCCAACATGGCGAACGAGCTCTACGATGGTGCTGAGATGATGCAGGCTGATGACATGGAGATATTCACGGAGAAGGATCTGATGAACCCTTCCGGGCTGCCGAAGGCACCCGTTTCCGCCTGTGTACAGGAGTGTTTCATGTCAGTTCACAGTCCATGGAATGACCCCCAAAATAAGATAAACTTAGGAAAGCACATGTCCAGGGTTATGCAATGCATCCGTAGGCCATCGAAACGAGTTCAAGAGTTTTTGCCCTCTGTTTCCACAGAGTGTAAGCCGCCTCTGCATGCCGTGACCAACCCAAGTCCCATGAATGCTCTGTTTGCTAGGACCAATGAGACTGCCTGTGAGTTTATGCCTGAAATGCCTGTCCTGCAAGCCAGTGAAGAGCAATGTGCCCATGCCATACTAGATACCGGTGCCAGCCGATGCATCATCGGCTCACAGACCCTGAGTTGTCTTTTGCAGCGCCTGCCAAGTGATGTCAAGTCTCACGTGCAGCAGCGACCCAGCCAGATCAAGTTTCGCTTTGGAAACAACCAAACGTTGACCAGCATGTACAAAGTTTTGCTGCCCTTAAGCCACTCATCAGGTGAGAAGGTCTGGCTAGGTGTAGAAGTTGTTGATGGTAGGACGCCGTTTTTGTTTTCCAAGCGTGCCTTCAAGCAATTGGGAGGCATTTTAGACACCAACCAGGACAGATGCACTCTGACCCGCCTGCAAAAGACGATGCATTTAAGCACCAATGCCACCGGTTTGTATCTCATCGACATGGCCGAGTTTTGCCAACCCCCGATTCATGTAAACAGCAAGGATAATGTAGATCGTGAAGTTTTCATTGGAAGTGCCAGTCATGTGGGGGTCAACACATCACGTCATAGGGAGACAATGATTTCCAAGACTGCTATCCAAGCTGTACAGAAGCGACCGTTTTTGATGCAAACGGCACTTGCGAAGCCATCACATTCCAGCAATCTGCCTGCCCCGTGTGTGACCCTCGATTCCTGCGCTGACCAGCATGTCCCCGAGCCGCGAAGCTGCCATCAACATCCTGAAGGAGACGGCCAACATCATCATGGGCACTTTGACCTTGGTCCTGCAGGTGTCCATGAACATGATCGAAGTCAAGGACAGCCACTGTCCGGAAGAAGAGGAACAGATGCCCTTGCTGACCAATCAGCTCCAGTCAATGTGCCAAGAGATGATGCGTCAACGTGCTCTACTGCAAAGATTGGCGGAAAGCCAGAATCGAGTGACAAACACGAGGATCATGACCACGCCTCAGATCTCAAGCTTGCCTTTGGAACAACTGTCCATGCCACCGCAAGCAACCTTGAGCGACGAGGAGGAGATCGACGACGCCTTCTCTGTGGTGTCATCAGCCAAGCCAATGGCCATTCCAAAGAGTCTGAAGAGTCCCGAGAAGAAGCAGCGTGCAGCCTCCAGCCGTACAACAGCCCAACAACCAGCCCTCGAAAATGTGCAGATGCCATCCTCCACGGCCGAAGCCTCGACACGTCTCACACTGGCAGAATGGGGCCAAAGGAAGATCACGTGGGGCAAGAAGCACCCGGGGCGCACCTATTTTCAGGTGCTGAGCGAAGACATGGGCTACTTCGAGTGGAGTCTGTCTCGATACCGCTCTCTTCCTCCTCACCAACAAGATTTCGTGGACTTCTGCAGAGCTCAACTGGAGAACGATGCGGCCCAAGATCGTGCCATGCTTCTGAATGTGTGCCGGCTTGCCTGAGTCTCGATGCCAATCTAGCAGACATGATTGAGTCTTGTCGTATTGAATGTTCCCGATTTACTCCTCAAAGAATTGCCAAACAACATCAACTATCTGTTGAAAAATCCCTTGAACAGGCTCAGAGTGTGATTGATGAAATTTATATTTCAGCTCCTTCAAGTGCGATCCCCAAGAAAAGATTGGTTGTCTTAGAAGTGTATGCCGGTGAGACAAGTCCAATCACTGAAAGTCTGCGTGCGCTGGGTGTGGATGCCTACAGGTTCACTAAGCGTGATGGTGACTTGTCAACTCCAGCAGGCCGACGAACGTTATGGAGCTTGATTGATAGGATTGAGCCTGACCATTTTTTTGCTGCACCAGAATGTGGGCCTTGGAGTGGCTGGAATAGGTTCAATGCTCAGCGAAGTCTGAGACTCTGGGATCACGTTCATGCAAGACAAGCTGCCGAAAGGGTTCACGTCCAACTCTGTGCTCAACTGTGTTCTTATCAAACCAAAAGAAATAAGCACTTCCACCTTGAACAGCCTGTTGGATCGTCCATGATATCTACTGATGAATTTAGACCTATTGAACAACAAACCAACCGAGTTTGTTTTGACATGTGTGCTTTCGGACTTAAGCTGCCCAAAACATCCAAGTTTATTCGCAAACGCAGTCAGCTATGGACCACGTCCGATGTGATGTTGCGTCAGCTTGCCAATCATGATTGTCCGGGCACCCATGCCCACACCCAGATTGCTGGTTCCATGCACCATGATGGAAAGACCATCCCTGTGTCAAGCTTCTGTGCCACATATTGTCATGGATTCGCAGAGACCTGTGCCAAGCTTTTGTGTGAGGACCACTCAAACATGTGTCAAACCAGTTTTGTCCACGAAGATGAATCACCATTCAAGAGAGTTCGTTTTAATCCAGAAAGCTTTAAGCGACGCCGAGTGGACTCCTCTGTTCCCGCTGTTGCGACTGGGGATCAACCGAATTTCCCTGTCGATGGCACTATTGTGACAAAGGAATCCCTTTGGCATGAAGCATGCCGGATGGCCAATCGACTAGCTCCTCGGGTTGGCAATCACAAATATGATGCTGACAGTGATCTTGGAGAACTTGTGCAACAACTTGTGGATGACAATTTCAAAATTTGATGTGTTTTTATTTGTCGAGGTACAGATCGTTTTCAGGTACCTGTGTCTGCTCCACCGTCAGATGAATCCCCATGGTGTCAAACTCTGTGTATCCACCGAAGAGATGGAACTCTACATGACTTAGGCATTCGGAATTGGCATGCTTTAACCCGAGCCCAAAGAGTTGCAAAGACCATTCCCAGCCGCTTGACACTGACCATTTTTGGTAATTTCAAAGAGGCTGAAAATCAAGATGAGCCATCGTCACCGAATGCCGAAGATTCCATAGCTCCAAGGGATACCAACTCTCGAGTGCCAGCAGTTGATTCTTTTGCAAAAGTTCCTGATCCGAAGACCGTATGTGAAAGGTGGGCTCCACCACCCACTCCATTGCATGGCCCCTGTTTTCGTGCATTGACAGGTGATGAGAAACAACAACTGGTGAAATTGCATAAGAATCTTGGTCATCCTGATCCAATGGTTCTGTCAGCGCACTTGAAAGCACAAGGTGCCACTGAACACATCATCCGTGCTGCCCAGGATTTTGTCTGCGATGCTTGCGTTGAAACACAGAAGCCTCACCATCAACGCCCTGCAAAGCTCCATCCGCCAAGAGAGTTCAATGATGTACTGGGGATTGATGGATTTTTCTGGAAAGGAAAGGGCAACTTCCAATGTTATGTGTTACATATATATGATGAGGCCTCAGGTTTTCACCTTGCCAAGCGCCTTGATGGTCGCAATTTGGATCACGCCATCCCGGCATTTCAGAATTTGTGGCTAACATGGGCCGGGGCTCCTCGGCATATGTACCTTGATCCTGCAGGCGAATTCCGAGCAGATAGGTGGTTAGATTATCTCCAAAAAATCAACACCAGCGTTTTCATGTCTGCTGATGCCTGGCAGCGAGGTAGAATCGAGCGTCATGGATCGATCATCAAAGATATGCTTCATCGTTTTGACACTGATCAAAGAATCGAAAACGTAGGACAGTTTGATGAAATCCTGAGTTTATGTTGCCAGGCCAAAAATGCTCTTTCCAAACACCATGGTTATTCACCTGAACAGTTTGTCTTAGGAAAGGCCACAGACTTGCCCGGGTCCTTGACCTCTGACGAATCAACGGTTGCTCACTCCCTGGCTTTGGGAAGTGACCTTGAGAGCGAAAGGTTTCGCACCCTTTTAGAAAGACGAACCCGAGCTCGCCAAGCCTTCATTCTTTCAGACAATGCAGAAGCCATTCGAAGAGCGACCTTAAGACAATCCCGACCAATGCGAGGTCCTTTTCAACCTGGGCAACTTGTGTTGTATTGGACGAAGCGAAGCATTCCCAATCGAAGTGATGTAGGACGCTGGCATGGCCCAGCTCGTGTCATTGTTCAAGAAGGAAATTCAATTGTATGGTTGTCCCATGCCAACCGTTTGATTCGCCGTCCTCCAGAGAACATTCGACCTGCATCACTCCGTGAGTGGAATACATGGAGCGACCACCTGCCCGAAGTCCGAGACCTGCCGCAAAATATGGCTATTCCACAATAGACCCTGATGAATCTCAAGAAAATGATGCCATGAATGATGAATATTCACCAAGTCTTGCACCTGATCTTCCACCGCATGTTCCCACTGATGAACAACCTGAAGGAGAAGCATCCCATCCACCTACTGTAGTACAGGTGAAACCACTCCAACTGCAGAATCCGATAATGAAGAGATCCCCCCTAATGAAGATAACCCCGAAGAGAGTTACTTACTTCAAGCCAATAATGTCTTTGAACATAGTGAGTCCTCAAATGCAGATCAAGATGAACTCATGATGTTCGACACCTTTTACTCAGCAGGATGTCCAACAGAAACTGTGTGCTTAGCCGAAGATGGAATGCCGTTCATTGATAATCCCCTTGACTGCAGCACTGAAGAATGCTTTGTCCTCGACATCCCCCTGAAGTCGGCAGATCTGACTGCATGGAGCCAAGAATCCAACCCGTCAGACATGGCATGTATAGCTGCGGCCAGTCAGCGTGCAAGATCGGAGGTCCAAGTGAAGTATCTCTCCGATAGTGATCAAAAGCTGTTTGACATTGCCAAGGATAATGAACTTTCATGTTGGATTTCCACAAATGCCCTCAGACCTATTCTCCGAAAATCCCTGAATCCCGAGCAAATCTTGAAATCCCGTTGGGTATTGACCTGGAAGAATGTTGAAGCTGATCAAGATAAGCCATCCCACAAAAAGGCTAAAGCCCGCCTACTAGTATTGGGCTATCAAGATCCCCAATTAACCTCAGTGGCACGGGATAGTCCTACATTGACCAAAGAAGGGCGAAATACCATCCTTCAACTCATTGCTTCCCAACAGTGGGAGTTGACCAGCTTCGATATCAAGACAGCCTTCTTGAGAGGCAAAGCAGATGAGAAGAATCCCTTAGCTATGGAACCACCTGCGGAACTTCGACAAAAACTTCGAATGTCTCCGGAGCAGGTATGTGCCTTAGTTGGTAATGCTTATGGCCGAGTTGATGCTCCACTGTTGTTCTACAAAGAACTCACTCGCCAATTGAAAGCTTTGAATTTTCGAGTCCATCCTCTGGAACCATGTGTGTTTTTGCTGGAATCCGGCAGTGGCAGCCAACGTAAACTTCATGGGGCCATAGGAATTCATGTGGATGATGGAGTAGGCGGGGGAGACCAATATTTTCAACAACAGCTTGTTGCCCTTGCCAAAGTACTGCCTTTTGGAAGCCATAAGCACCGCAAATTTACCTTTACAGGCATTGAACTTGAGCAGCTTCCCGATTTCAGCATTCGTGCCTCTCAAGCAGATTACATCCATCGCATCATGGCCATAGACGTTCCCAAGATTCGTCGTGAACAACCTACTAGCCCAACTACCGAATCAGAGAAATCGAAACTTCGTGGTTTAGTAGGAAGCCTTCAATATGCCGTGACCCACACACGCCCTGACATTGCCTCCAAATTGGGTGAGGTCCAGACCGACATGGCTAACCCTACGATTCAAACATTACTATCATGTAATAAGGTACTCCGTGAAGCTCAAGAACACTCTGCTGTCCAGATCTATTTTCGCAGTATCCCTCCTGATCAATTGACTCATGTTTCATTTGGTGATGCATCGTTTGCAAGTCCTAAACAGCTTTCCTCATTTCAGGGTACTCTCATATGTGCCACTACATCCAAGCTTCATGAAAATGTTGATGCTCCTCTATCCCCTTTAAGTTGGTCCTCCAAAAAGATATCCCGAGTTGTAAGATCTACCCTGTCTGCTGAAGCCTATTCCATGTCTCGGAGTGTAGACCGTTTGGGATGGTTGCGACTGCTGTGGGGCGTCATGGTGATACCCCAATTTCCGTGGCAGATGCCTTCAAAGGCCTATGCTCAGTTGCCCATGGGTATCATTACCACGGACTGCCGAAGCTTGTACGACTTGGTGAGTCGCACTGCCATGCCTCAATGTGAAGAATATAGGACCACACTTGAAGTGCTTTTGATCCGTGAACAGTGCCAGGATAACTGTGTTTTTCGCTGGATTCCAACCACCATCATGCTTGCCGATGCCTTAACAAAGCCCATGGACCCTTCCCTTTTAAGATTAGTGCTCCAAACTGGGATCTTTTGCTTGTATGATGAGTCTTCCATCCTGCGACAGAATGCCAATCGCCGATTAGCTGTGTCCTGGCTTTCCGATAAATCCTAGGGCAATAATTCTTTTAGGGGAGCAATGCAATAATTCTTTTAGGGGAGTGTGAAACTGACATGTCTTACCCGGATCCTTGCATTGCTTCCACACCATATGGCAGTGAAACCCACCGAAGGCACCCTTGCTCGAAACTAGGGAAGGTGGGCGGGACTTCTTGCACTTGGGAGTGCGTACGGTCAAAAGGGTGTGCCATAGGCCTGGCGGCCGCGCTGCGCTGTTAGCTGGTGGGACCATCTACTTTATCGACATTATCATCTTTCAGTGGGATCTGAAACCATTTTGGCTAGGTGGCCTACTCTTTGTTTTCCATTGGTTGGACCAATCATCCGCTGCCAGTGTGGGAGGGTCGAGTACCTTTCACACACACACATATGTTTCTATACATGTATCATAATCACAAATATATATATATATATTTATAATTATGAATGATGAACCACTGGCTCTGGTGAGGTTGCCTCGATGGGCATTTGGTGGGCAGCTGGATTCTCCACAGCTGCAATTCGAATCATAGACGATGATGCTAGAGGCAGATCAGATCTGTGGGATTTTCCATTGCTGGCTGCCCATCGGCCCATGTTTCTGATGGCATCAGGTTTGCCCATGGATGGTGGGGATGTGCAAGTCAACAAGTTCATTCGCATCCTCCGATCAGAAAGGCGATTTCTCCCTTGAGACACCCAGAAGCTGTCCACGTGGAAACTGGATGAAATTGGGAACTGCCCGTTCCCAGACAGTTTCGTTCTCTTGCTAGTACTGCTTGCCAGGTTGCACGATGGACTGGCTTTGGCACACACACTCAGTTGTATTGGGCTCTTTATCAGGCACGTTCGAGATTGGGCTCTCAATTGGTTTTGGTTTGACCAGGAGTTGCTTTCTCAGGACGGTTCTGGCCTTTGAAGGTCGTCTTTGCAAGATCTCAGAAAACTTCACTGCGCCAAAAACTGAAACTGTCGTCACAAACTTGAACAACTCAATGTTAGTTGCCACGGGCTAGTTGATTAAAATGATTTTTGCCCCTGCGTGCCAGCATCATTCTCCTGTGCATTGCCATGGGCCTGATGAAGGCGGAAGCTGTGCATGTGACTGATAGGGATGAAAGATTGAGCCAAATGCACTGAACAGGCCACATTCCTTGAAGAATTGTTCAATCCATCATAATGAGAAGAAAGACTGCATTCTTACTCCTTCTGTCCGCTTCTTTTGCTTTCGCGGCTCCAAAAGAATTGCTTGTAAATGGTCACATCCTTTTCCCCCTTTGAATGCCGCCTGATGGTAATCTTCGACAGGGCTCAGTCACGGCGTGTGAGCTATGCCTATGCTTTGTGGTCTGGTCCTCACATAATTATGTTTTGTTTTTAGTCAGGAGGCACTTCAACACGCCCTCTTGAGAGCTCACTGTTGCTTGACTCCTGCAATGTAATTGTCTTCTTGAAACAAAATCCGGCATCCATTGTCCTTTCATTGCTTTGATTTCGCTTTCGAACCTCTTGATGAGGCTCTTGGGTTTGCTGCCCCACATGCTCTTGTTGCAGCTCGTCGTCCGTCCCTGAGTTTCTCACAGCAATTATAACTTGATTTCTTCTCTTGATGCAGATCATCTTACTCTTTTTACTAGCACATGAAGATCTGAGCTGGCATTTTAAATGGGGTTTCAAAACTTGAGAGTGAGATACTCCTTACAGCAACGTTGAAATCCGCAGGATTGTCTGCTGTCTTCTATATCTTCAAGCCTTGCACAAATTTTTATTTCCGATATTGTTTCCAAATGTTTCCAATTTAGCCACTACTTTGACTACTTTCACTACTTCCAGTCTCATTCTGCTACTGGCTTTCTGGCTTTGTTTCGCCAGAAATCTTTCAGAAAGGCCTGGACTTTTCCCCTCCAAAGAAGACAGAGGATGCACCAGTTGCTTCAGCAGCAGCAGAAGCGGCAGCTCAAGAGGCCGTGTTGAGCTGTGCCATGCTGCGCTTGTCTTAAAACGGAGACTGTATTGACCATGGGCTGGCATGGGATGGCATGGGGATGGCATGGGGATGGCATGGGGTATCTCCCATCCCCATTTTTTGGAGCCACTTGGTGCAGGCTGCGTCCGTTGGACCTCAGCTTTGTGTCATCTTGGCACTTGCTGATTCGCCTGGCCATGCGTGCCCTTGAAGTCTTGGCAGTTGCGTTTTTGGCAGTGACCAGGATGTGACCAGAATGTGACTTTTGGATGACCTTTGGATGACCAAAATGATTTCATGGGTTTTTGATTGATTTTGATGTGATGATTGTTCTGTTTAGGTACCTATGGCAGAATTTTGTTTACTTTGTAGCTGCCATTGCCTACGTTGCTGCCGTTGCTGCATGTGGGCGCTCTCCACCAAAGGCCGCACAAGAATGACTTGCTGAAGTGTTCGATGTCAAACATCAAAAAAACACAAATTGTTTACTGCGCAATACACGGGTTGGACACTGATATGGATGATCATCATACTTTCTAAAGTTGCCATTTTGATCCTCCTTGTCTTCATCGTCATGTGCACTTTATATTTGGCGGTGTCTATAAACAATCACATCCTCAAAATGAGCGGAAGCACTAGTCTACCTGTGTAGGTGGGGAATGCTGCACTTCCGCCCCAAACTGGAGAATTTGTGACCTGCCTTGTGTATTGACCTCGGTTTTTTTTCTTGTGTCAGAACAGTGGAGTCCATCGGTTGGATGATTTGCGGTATCCAAGGTTAGATGTCGTGGCGTCGATTGCTCTGGTACGCCTGTCAATCAAGCTGCAGCCATCACCGCTCCACGTTCGCGTTTTAATCATGAGTTGGGATCACAAAAAATGAACAATTCAAAAAAATCAAACTATCCAATTTAAAAAGTTAGACCTTGGAGGAACGAGCAGTTCCAACATAGATTGGATCCGTACAGTGTCAGTGTTCAAAACTGAAAGCTGACTAGCCTTAAACCGCAAATCTTGGCTCGAGCGAGACCCCATACAGCAGTTTGAGCCTTGTGAAGTTCAAGCCTCTGCGGTGCTGCTGTGATATTGGAAACTTTCAATGGTCATCTAACATTCATGTTCACAGGCATTCATAGGAGAGTTTGGACTTGTGGGTATTTGTAAACTCAGGGCTTTCCCCCATCCCACTGCATTCATTAAAATCGCGTCTAAGGTCCAGGCTCATTCTTGCCATGGGTGAGTACCAGGAGCCATTGCTTTCCCGGGTGGAGCCCTGCACTGAGAAGGCGAAGAGGCGCGGGGCAAGCCATGGAAACAACTGGTGACCTGCCATGGGGACAGCTTGCTGGGCAGGTCGGCAGAGGTGCAGACACCGCTTCAAGCGGTTGTGTCTTACTTGGATGCCATGAGCTCAGCAAAGATCTGGAGAGTGGGTTTAACAGTTTAACACTGTGGCCTTAGGATTGCATGCATATTACATGTTTAGGCAAAGATCGCATCTTTAAGAACTGGATTGCATGATGCATCAGTATCAGGCAGCTTTCACTGTGACGGAAAGAGGTAGCAGCGTCAGTCTTGAGCTTGGTTGTTCTGAATGTGAAATACAGCCCCACTTGGCTGACAAGTTCAGCTTAGTTCAGCTTCAAATGTCAAGTTTTCTGCGACTTCAAGGCCAAGAGATCCGGGCAGGTTTGGTGACTTGGGCAGATTCCCAAGATGCAGCCGACCTCAAGTTCAATGATTCAAGCGTCTCAAGACCTATCAGTCTTTAAGGCGTCCTGTTGTTTCTGCAATTGGAGCTGAGGTCACCATGAGCTATATAGTTGTTGTCAATCCCATCATTCTCAGTGCGAGATTTGCGGACGGCAGCCGCTTGACATCAATCAGATCTAACTGGTCTAGCTTTGACATACTATTCTTGGAGAAATGCATTGACTCCAAGGAATGCTTTACCAGTGATTTCAACAGCTCTTAAGGCTCGGCTTTACCTTGTCTTTCTTGAGGCTCTCCTATCTCCTTCCATGCTGCCTGCAGAGCCACTTGCTTGTACTGACCTTGGTGATGAACGAGACTAGGTGTGAAGGCCGTTGGAGAAGGTATCCTTTTACCCAAACTGAGCGCTGTGGAATTGCCTAAGGTCAGCAGCATTTGCGTCTGGCTTCGTAGGACGGTTGCGTTGCATGAGGTGTATCGAACGTTTTCGATGCAAAATACCCAGCGGAACGTCAGGACTGGCAGCAAACCTGCCTTTCGGATTGGCAGCAGGTATGGGGCTGTGGATCCGGCTTGAATTAGTGGTACAAAGACCTCTGCACTGAGAATTCTTTGTCGACACCATGCCAGGAACTCGTACTTGCGCTATGGCATCATCGACAGACTTGGTTTAGGGCCCGAGGGGGCCCTGGCAGCTTGCTTTGTCCAGGCAAGGCTGAGAAATTGCCATGATATACCATGGTATACCATTGATAATCTACATGATATCTATGATTATGATTATTATTGCGATTACATGTGATTGCGATCGCGACTGCGATTGTGACTGCAATTGTGATTATTATTTGATGTTATTTGGATTCTGATTGTCATGATGATGATGATGATGATGAGGATGAGGATGATGATAAGGAGGGGGACGGCGACGACGACGTCATTATCATATTTAATAATCATAATAACTGATTGCTATTATCATGGTATTACCAGAGATTTGGAGCCAGTGGAGCAGTGGCTGACTGTGAAGGCTGTCCTTTTTGCTTTTCTGGCTGCCAGCGGTGCAGTCGACAAAGCCAGCTTCCAAGAGGGTTGCCGCAAGAGATTTGGCATATTCTCGCTGCATTTCACTCGATGTGTAGTTCCCACCTGCAGTTCCTACAAGGTTCAGGGTGCCTTGCCTTCAGCTTTGAAATCGTCCATCACAGTGGCCATCGGAGTCTTTCAGGCAATGTTCTTTTCGAATTGCAAATGCATTGCCTAGCAACTCCATTGTGCTGCTTGAATGCCTGGGATTCAAAAGACAAGAACATCTTTGCAACTCAAAATCTTGTACAATCTTGTAATAGCGCTGTGGCTGGAACCGTCTTGAGTATATGCCAGGCTTTTGTGGGGCTGCAACTCATGGGTTTGATTGTGAAGAGCGACACTACCTTGGTTGCTCCTTGGCTTCAACCAGGGTCCTCTTAGCCATGAAAGCAATACCGTGAGATCAGATTCTATTTCTGAAGGATCAGCAGATGTAGACCAATGGAGGTGAATTTTGCATCCAACAAGGGTATGAATCGGTATGAATATACACACATGACTGCAGCTCTTGTGTCGGATTTGTGGATTAAAGTCCTTGCTGTTTAGTCGATCCAACTCAAGGGCATACTACACAAAAAGGATATCATGTCCTTTGAAGATCGCCAGCTTGTGGACACACTGCAAGAAGTGCTTGAGCTGCTTGGGGCCCTGTCCAGGCTCTCGGTGATTTGTCACAGCCGAATCTGTGGTCCCTGCGGCATGACATTTGCAAGCTGCAAGCGCATTTGTCACCCCTGGCTGTCGCAAACACAGACCATTATGGCTTGATATGATCACATATCAGAAATGCTGAGGTTGCATCACTAGCATGAACGAACCCTACACATTTCCGCAGTAGCAACTCGCGCTTGGCTTTTCGATCTAGACATTTGCGAGTGCCAGGCTGGCTTTCACAGCGACATTGCTGGTCGCGGGCCTTTTGATCAGGAAGGTGACAGGAGCATTGCTTCTAGGCCAGGACAGCGTTTCGATTGTTCGGTGGCCCGCCATGCATCGTTTTATGTCGACCTGTGCCAGGAATTTGCTTCACCGCTGCAGCATCATACCTTCTTGGCCTGCCAAATCCTAACCAGGTGTCCTGCACTCGCCGATGCTTGTCCGTGGGACTAAGTAGCAAAGATTCACAGAAGGAGATTCATTCTCATCTCTCTCACACACCCACATGCATGGCATGCCTGGAAGTTCTGGGATCAATGACTTGACGTATGGACTGCAAACTGTTCATTTGGTATCAGGAAGCGTGGCAGCATGGCACAATTTCGTCTTGGTTTGTCTGTCTTGATTTGATGTCAGGATCCGTCCGCTGGTCTGTCAGCCGGTGCAGCCCTTAGTTCTTATGGGCAGAGCCAAATACTCGTGAAACAAACTCACGCACTCCTATGACGCAGCAGCCCTTCATGGAAACGTATCCAGCAGAAGTCAAAACGAGAGTTGACCGATTTCAAATAACCCTCAATCCAGAACAGAGGCTGGTCTAGAAAAGTCAGTCAGAAGAATTTTATTTGTTTATGACTTAGGACCGATATTTATGTCAATCTGTAGAAACTGCTTCCCCCAATTTAAGCTGCACCTGCCACAAGAAATTGCAAGGCCACATAAAGCGTGCTTCAAGCTAACAGTCGCTCCATATGATTCTTCACCACACTGTAATCCGGGTTTTTCCCGAGCCAAATTTGGCCAAATTTGGCAGAATTACGCGGTCGTGTTTTCGACCTGGACTCCCTGCATCTCGGCGTTCTTCTAGGCACTGGCCTGTCTGCCAAGCTCTTTGACTTGGATTTCACTCCCATGCTGGAAAAGCCACAGGCCATTGACAGACATGATAGGCTATCATAATCTATCATAGCGATTTGCATTTCATTTGAAGGTGAAAGTGCCATGTAATCCTAGAGCATGGGCAGCACAAACGGCGAGTGCAAAACAAAGACAGCCCTCTGTCTCACTTTGTCTCAAGGAGTTCGGAACAGCAGTTCTATGCCTTCTTTTCATTGTTGTATTTGACACTGCAGGGGTTGGGACCTCAGATTCTTCGCCATTCGCTTCTGTGAAATTTTTGGCGATAGGGCGGTTTCCAAGGTCCAGCATGGCATTGGCCAACAAGCTGGGCTGCTTGACAGACGAGGTTTTTTGCCAGGAGCAAAGTACTGCACTCGGTGGTACTGGGACCAGTATTGAACAAAGTTGAGCTTGGTATTGAACCACTGTTGTTTACTTTTTTTAGTCATTTCTGGGTCTTGCAACTGTTCTTTCCCTTTTTCGCATCTATTCTGAAAGCAGATCACTGTTGAAGCAATGCGTCACAAGTGGGTCTGTCTTGGTACGGATGGCGCCTGCGCCTGACGGTTGTTTGTGACCGTTTGTGTCAGGTCTTGCCTCCCTGCTTAATTTTTCTCCCTACTTGTCTTGCCCTTGTCTGTCTGCTGGTCTGCCTTTGTCTCCCTTCTTTTTCAGTCTTAGAACGCCTCTCAGCTTTATCCCTGCTTGCCTCTGGTCCTATGACTCTACTTGCTCCTTTTGGTGAAATGCAATGCTACAAAAAAGTGTCTGGTCCATCTGTTCAGGGTATATACTAGCGTAGTTTTGTAAGATGGCCTAGTTTGGTCACCTAATACAGATGCAGGTTTGCCAGGATCTCAAGTACGACGAAGGGAATGCTGTAGAATATCCTGCACAAAACATAGATAGTGGCATGCTCCCCTCCGTGTCATTGTTTTTCTCTTCCTGGAAAACCGCTCATTCCTACCAAGCGAGCTCATTGGGGGGAAATTTGGGGCTAACTCTTGACGGGGTCTTCGATGCGGCAAACGCCGTCGAAGTCAACGGATAACGCCATTAGTGGGACATTTTGCTGCAGAAGGTCTCTCAAGGATTTATATGAGACTAGATGAAGATGCATCAGAGACAAGGTACATTTGCACAAAACGTACTTGTTTCATCTTGTTCCTATCGAAATTGGATTTGCAAAGTGCAGTTTCAGTCTACCGGTCTACCTGATTTGCAATGATGCAACTTGAACTGCAAGGATACTTGCTTGGACGGTAACAGTGCCACACATAATAGGGAATCCTGCCCAAGTCTTTTCAATATATCGTGAGAAAACCATTTGTGTAGGTCAATGAAACGCAGTCTTTCATATGAGCCTGAAGTGGAGCACAATTTTTGGTTTCTTCTCAGCTTGGTTTGTTTCCTTGTGTGTGTGTGTGAATGCATTTGGATGCATTTGGGTCTTTTGGCTGGAGTATAGTCAGGCCCTATGCCAGACCTTCTTTCCCTTTGCTTCCCTTCTTCTCGGCTCAGCTTTCTTCCCCAAAGTTCTCACTTAATATTCCTGTTTAGGTTTGCGGTGGCAAACAATTTGCCATACTAAATCTATTTCGCCATTTAGATTTCTTGATTCGTTTTTCTTCTGTAGTTTGCTGGAGCCCACTCGTGATCGACCATTGTATTTTGAAACTAGTTGAAGTTGGCAGTTTTGGACGGTATTCTATGCGACAAGATCAAATTGTGCAAAGGTATGGATACCTCGGAAGCGCTTTTGGCAGTGGCTTGGGAGCCGTGATGGGCACAAGTCCGGCCAAGAGCTCAGGATTTTGTTAGTCCCAACTTCAATTGCAGAAGCATAGCCACTGCTCTTCCTCAGTCGTTGTTGGGGTGGCTGTGGTGGCTAAGTGTGACGTGGCCGAGGTGATCATTCACAACGAATCTGCGGCTGGAGTTCAAGAAGGTGGTCGAACAGGGCAGTGGTCTCAGCAACAGGTGGCCAAACCAATGAGAAATGTGCTGCAATATGTGGGTATGGATCAATACCTATACCATTTTTAGGGGGATGAACATCCATAAATCCCAGCTATTTTGATGTGAACTACAGGGGTACTATTGGTTTTGACACACTGCCATGTTGCAATATGCTCTTGATGGCAAGCTGCAGCACTTTGCAATCTTCTGTTCGTGCACTGTGGGAATCAAGACCTGAAAGAGGCAGAGAGATTCTGGTCTCAGTTGACATAGTGTACACCTGGGAACTCACCAACTGAAGATTTGAAGTTCTGGCAACTGAGGCTTTGTGCCATGACTACTGCCGTGCTTTTTCTCCTCTCGCCTGTGCTTGTGCCGGTGATTGAGCTCATCCCACCCGAGGTCCCTTGCTGATGCAGCTTGAAGACCGAAACCTATTGGGGGTGTATCATGGGGTACCCCAAGCTCGCCCAAAATTGGTCATTTTGAATGCGGAAAAGATGGGAAACCAATGGTTTGGGGATTTTTTTGGGTACGCCTATTTTAGGAAACAGCCATTCAAGCCCAAAGTTCACAGTTGGTTTGTAGGTTGTCTTCCCCATTGGCAGGCCACAGCGCCTTGCTTGGTGCTTGTTGGAAGCATGATGATGGGACCTGCCAGACACTGAGTCTATGTCACTGGATGCTGGCTGAATAGACTAGTCTGAGTAAACAGATGGGAGGGCGTCATTTTTATGAAGAGATCTCAATCTTTTTGTAAGGTCAAGGATATTGACTTTGGAGATTTGCGTATCGCGCTCCCGGCATTCCTCACGATTTGCATTACCCCTCTTGCGTTAGGAGCTCAGCATATTTCAAAGACAGGACTGAAAGGACGTTATGAAATGTTATATATAAATGTATTATGAATGTGAAGTCATGAAATGTTATGACTGTGAAGTTTGGGCATCAGCATTTATAAATCTTGAGTTCGGTGTCGAGGGTTTAGATGCAACCTGGAGCGCCTCAGATACTCCATCTCCTTCGGCATTTTCGTGGGCATTGCATCGTACTACGTGCTGGGTTGTGTCCTTTGGCTGGCAGAGGCAGTGACCTCAGTATCAGCTGGATATCAGCTGGTAGCTGCTGGTAGTCTCACTCGATCTCGTTTTACTCTTGAGAAAGTTTCGAGTTGGAAAGCGCTTGATGTCATTGATGTTTGTGGTGTGTCGCACGACGTCACGCAAGGTGGCATCTGTGGGTGGAAAGACCGTACAGCCAAGGCAGAAAGTGTCAGAGGTGAATTTTCAAAAGTACAAAGTGGCTTTGGTTCCACACAACCCTTCACATTATCCTTGAGCTCTTGTGAAACAGATGGGGTTCTCTGTTGATGGCACTCGCCTTTTTCCGGGTTTGCACACAACAGCAGCGGTTATTGAATACATTTCATCCGATTTATCCTGGCAGTTTTCTGGCGATCTCTGGAGATGACGACGAGCTGATTCCAGAGGCACGCCACGACCAGCTTGCCTCTGTGAGGAAAATGCCTACAAGACTGCACATATTGGCAGCAATTTGCACACCTGAATGAGGTACCTTGAGAGTGTGGAATGCATTGGCGCTCGACTGATTGGTAGTGCGTGCAACTTCATTTCTCGGGATTCGGGCCGGGACTGCAGGTTTGAAAGACTTCCAGTTACCAGACGCATGCTTGAGAGCTGACGTTTCGATAAGTTGAAGTTTGAGCAGACCTTAAAACGAGATGGCTGCCAGAAGCATCCAGCCAGAATCCTGGACGTATCGATTGAGTTGCTGGTTCAAAGTGCCAAACTTGGCGAATCAACCGAATCAACACTCAGCATCTCGTTCTGATTTATGTGCATGCCGGCTCATTCGGCCGTGCTGTGTCATTTGAGAGCACGTCGTAGTAGCCAAGCGGGGCCGTGTACAGATTTCATTTGCACTTGTCTGGATCCTGAATCCCAATGATACTTGTCATTAAGGGCAGATATCATATTATCAAGAAAAGATTAAAGTGATGACAAATTGCAAAGCCGAGAAATCACATTTTCCTTGAACGGTAAGATGCTTCCAATTGGGCCGCATGCTGTCTCTTCCGTTTGTGTACCAAGTGAGCAATGGAGTGACAATCTCCCGATGATTCTGTCATTGTGTATACTGAGAATATGACATATGTGCCCATAGTTACTGTACATGCCATGAGTCATGGGGGAAGTTTTCTGCATCTTTCCGTTCTGAAATGTGCTCCTCTGGCCCGGGAACACCTGCTTTTGCCGGCAAACTGTAGATATCTTGACCTCGCATTCCGCGAGAGGGCGCTCTTGATTCTACCTGAAACAGGTAAAAACACTGCCCTGCATGCCCAACCAGAATACCAACGAAGTCACTCGATCGACTTGTCGACTCAATGAGGGCCTGAGCTAATGTTGGAATCTGCCAGATCTGCCAGGTGGTTTGCTTTCCTCACCTGAACACCTGGCACCTATGGGACCTGTCCTCAAACTGTGCTTTTGTCGAGGTATTGGACTTATTACCGCGGATGCTGACGTATCGATATGAGATGTGTGGATGGAACATGTATGGACACAGGTACGTCCGGTATCTAGATATGCAGTCATATTCCGCAGGATTTTTCAAAATCTTGGCTGCTTGCATGTTAGACACGATATATCACGCACAATTGGCTCTCCTTCGTTCACAATCTGTGGGGCCTGAGCAGGAAAAACTGGAATGACAACCACAGATACAAACATAGCAGGGGCTTGGACAGTGTGATCTGCAACCTGCGCGTACTTCACGAGACAAATTAAATGCAGGGCTTGTTCTGTGCCCAGTCTTGATTGTGCCTGCCGATTTAATTCCATTCATGTAGCGGCCGTAAAGGTGTAGCCAAGAAACATTTGAAGTCCACTATGTTTGCAAATTGGCGAGAAAGCCTTGCAAAGTCAAGGAAACCAATGAAACCTTTTGGTTTGCAATTACTCCATGCTCGCTCACCTTGCAATCTAAGTGCTGAACAAACACGCGGTCTAAACATGAAAATGGGAAGGGGAGAACGGCCGAAATAAGAACAGAACGTGCGACGCCAAACTAAACCTTGGTTATACAAAGCTTCACACTGACCAGAGTTGAAGGGTGGCCTAGTTGTGGACCCAATGAGCAGATGGAACAGGTAAGATTTTGAGTTAGCCTGAGAGATGCAACGAGGATTAGTTCTCTAGATCACACATTCATCGCCAGACTATATAGCTGGCGATCAACACTCGTCAAAGCCGACTTGTAGCCTTGCTTTTGACTGAAATGTGCTGGACTGGCCAAACCAAAGAGCATGCGATGTGTTCCTTCCAATGTATGGAATCTGTAGGCCCTCACAGCTGTCCTTGCTGGCCTTTTTGCAGCTACATGGTTTGAGGCGGGTTTGAATGTTTGTAGTGTAGAGCATCGAAGCCAACTGTGAGAAAAAACATATTGTCGGAACAATGGCCGCATGTTGTGGGAATGAACAACTTGTTGTGAGGGTAACAAGAGGTAAGCATCGCCAGTGTGGTAGGATGGGTTCAGATGTGGATGTGATGCCATTTTGTGCTCAAACATCCACATCACCCACGACAAATCTGAAAGACACCCTCCCGACAACAGTCATTGTGGAGGGGGTAGGTCATGGGGAGAGTGTTGGATGCATCAGGCATTGGTACCCACAAGTGAAGTGGGCAGAGTGAAGTCAGCAACCATTGACCTCTTAGCCTCTTAGCCATATTCATCCTGATGGCGTTGCTGGCTTTGACAGCATCCTGGTCCTGCTGCTGCCATCAAAAACACACCCGGCAGATCACCACACTGCCGAGCGGCACCAACGAAGCCAGTGACGCTGAGAGTGACTACAGAAGCAGACTATAGGCAGTCAGAAGGGACCGCGCCCTGTCACCAAGTGCCCCTCCAACATGCCAAAGCCCTCCGACAAGAAGGATGACAAAGGGAAGCGGCTGAGAGTACATGCAATCAGAAGGTGTACATAGACGGACTTTTGCACAGTATCGTTTTGGCTGTCAGATTGAAAATTTGACCGATTTGCTGGCAAACTTTGAGCTGGATCCAGAATTTAGTAGGCTGTGCAACCATCCGCAAAAATGGTGGAGGGTTCTGTGGAGTTGACGCGCACTTGTGGCACCCTAGGATGCGAGCACATCATGGCTTGGGCAGCGGCCTATCCTGTAGACTTGAACAGGGCACTGGCAATGGATTTAGCTTCTGCCATGCACAATGCCGCAAGACTAACTAAACTGTGGTGGTTCTACCCATATCAAACTTTGAAGTGGGCTCAGGAATATACCTCTCAGATGCCGGGACTTGTACATGGGAAAACATCCATCGCTATCAGATCAGAAACCAGACGGAGTTGCCATTCCTGAAAAATGGTTGGACTGTCTCAGATCGAAAGTGATCGCACTCTTCGCCCGCAACCTGCAAGGCAGGTATAGATCTGGATCATGTGGACGAGCTCCAGACGGGCACGCGTGCCACCAAGGTCGGGGCAGGTTACTTCATGCGTGGGCTACCATTGTAAAGGACCCACGAGAGAAGGCAACATCATTGTTTTTGAAAGGGGCACAGCTGGTTTGGGGATGGCCTCATCAGCGCTTGATGGTATGTTTCCAAGGGTTTGCGACGAGCCGGACTTTCATGAGGTGTGCTTAATGACAGATCTGAGTCTTTTCAAAAAAACTATACTGGAGTGGAACAGGATCAAGAAGCTTATGAGGCATTGGAGTCATACCATGCGAAGGGCTTCTTGCAGAAGTTTGAGACCCTTTCTGAAGTTGAGGTGGAGCTCGGGTGCAAGCCAGCCCTTTGCAAACTGGATTGTATTAAAAAGATGAAGTTCAATGCAGACACTGGGCAATACACCTATAAGGCCAGAATCCTACTGGATTGCAAGAGGTCAGGGGGTTTCAAACATGGCAAAGCACACCCAGCCGAAAGATCTGCAACCCTCGATGAAGTTCGTGGCTGTCTGTCAGACAAGGGATCCAAAGAGGATACACTCAGAGGTTTGGTCAATGACTTTTACGCTGCTTCCAGCAATGCTCCAAGGTCGCCGCAATTGAGGGCTGGGAGAGGTACCATACCGTGTGTTACGGAGCATGCGTGTGTCATCGTTGTGCAAATTGGGAGGTTACCGGTCACTCAAAAAACACCTTTCCTGTGCAAAGGATCATCACGTTACTCTGGTTTATGCTGGAAGAAATTTCCAGAAAATGCTCCAGATCGGTTCTTAGAGGGCTTGCTGGCTCCACAAGGTCCATGGATTTCGATGTAGTCAGAAGTGCTCTGCACCTTACAAAGGCACACCTAGAGTTAGATGACCAGGGACCTGCACATCCTAGGGCCATGTTGATTACGGCCACCATTTTTCCATTGAGAGCTGGAAGCTTCCGCATTGGACTTGGCGGACATTTCATTTGAAGAGGCTAAGGTTACTCGGTGCCTACTTGTATGCAAAACGGTCTGGCAAGCAAAAGGCTGCGTCAGATCCTGGGCATGTGTCTGTGACACGCAACTTCCATGTGTAGTCCACACGAGGAGCTAGAGGAGTTCTATCGCTGCACGTTGGGAGCATTCAGCGCAGATTTGCCCTTGTTCCCGTCGCCTTCTGGTGGGTGTGCACGAAACAGGGAGTAGTGAACGCGAGGAAAAAAGCGCTTGAGCAGGTTGCCAGCAACTCATGCAAGGGTGATGGCACTTGGGCTTATAGTGGACATGCGTTCAGAATTACGGCGATACATGGTCTAGACTAGACTGCGTAACCATCAACTTCTGTGTAGGTGGAGCAAAAAAGCCATATTGTCCTATCTTGCCGAATCACCATTGGAAAGATTTGCAGACGGATTGGATCGAGGACTCCTGAAAAACAACGTGCAATACGGGGTTGATGCGAACCAACGTCCCGATTTCAATGATGTTGACGATACGTCTTGTGCTGAAGATATGATGAACGAACTCAAAACCACAAAGGCGAGAATGGATGAACTAAAGCATCAGCTGTCAGACATGCAACGTCAGACGCAAGACAATGCCCAAGCTCTGGAAGGGATAGGTATCATTCTGGACAAGGGAAAAGCATTGGAAGTCTGGTCACGTCCAAGGTCAGACACAAGTCCGTAGTTGATTTGTCAGTAGCCCCTGTACATTGGAAAACTATGTGCGGATGGAATTTTGCGTCTATAAGGCACGTAAAAACTGACCATAGACTGTGCCCAAGTTGCTGAACAACAAATAAATGGAACAGTTGCGCTGTGTTTCAAATGGCCTGCGACCAATTAGGGAAACAATTGTGGCCGGGAGGGATGTCAAGTTGCGCGCGATTGTTGGAATGAACAATTTGTTGTGATGGTAACAAGAAGAAAGCATCGCCAGGGTGGTAGTGTGGGTTCCACGACAAGTTTGAAACCCACCCACCCACAAGCAAACTTCCCAGCTGCGCAGATGTGATTGGGGCTCGTGGTGGGGCCCAATCTTCAGATACCCAAACCAATTTGGGTAAGGCACCCACTAACAACAGATGGGTGGACCAGTTGCGCAGTTTTTCAAATTACTTGCGGCCAACTAGGAAAAACATTGTGGCAGGGGGGAGGGATGTCAAGTTGCACACGAGTGTTGCGACTTAGAATGGTGAAATTCTATGAACCAGTCACGGATGGTTGTTCGTAGCTGAATCTGCATTGCTGTTTGTCTGTAGCGGCTTCATCCGCCAAACATCTCTTGCATCTAGCTCAGTCAGCGCGCAGAAAGAGTTGCAGCTGCTGCATTGCCAACGTGCCGGCAGGGCTGGCGAGATTTGATGATCGATCTACTAGACCCACTTTTTGCAGGGTTCCTCAGACTTGCTACTGCCAATACTCGCATGGAAGAGAACCTAGTGCCAACCGTGCCCTGCTGTGAAATTCCAAGGTTGTCCGCAGTGACACAGACAAGGAACCGCAGTGTGCTCTTGTCCAACTCAAGCGACAAGTGCAAAACCGAACATCCCAAACTCCAGAGCGCAACGTTTTTTTTATAGGTGGACATTTCGATCGAGATGACATGGTCAAGACAAACAGGGAACAAGTCAACCTGGGAGGCGCTTCCTGGCAAGCAGAGGGAGACCCTGAGAAGATGCTCCTGGGTGCAATCTCTCAGCTTCCTGCAGTGGCCCAGCAAGTTTTTTTTTGCCGATTGTAGGGTTCAGATCTTGAGATGTTTCATTTGTTCTCCTGAAACCATGTGATGAGCTTCAACTGATTGAGGTGTGCTGCATTGTCTGTGGCGCTGTGGCTATGTGGGACATTATGTTGCATCCGGTGCAGGACTAGACAGTTTTCTCGCACCACAAATTGGAATCATTCATGTGGAGATACCATTGAAATGAGGAGATGAACATCATTCTACCCAGAATCCCAAAGTCTTGGCAAAACCCGTTGCCATGACTTCCTGAAGAAACTTGAGCATCTGATGCAAGCCTCATCCAGGAGGGTCTCTTTGAACTTCCCAGCGACATTATGCAAGGTTTGGATGATGGGCAGGAGCCTGTGGACATCTGAAGGTAGCAAAAATCCAAGTCTTGGTGCAAATGAAGTGAAGCAGCGTGAGATTTCTAGTGATTTGTGGTGACTTTCTTGTGATGGACATCGTTCTGTCTTTCTGTGTAGTGCCACGGCGCCACGGTATGGCCTCTGCCCAGGTTAGCTGATTTGTGGGACCAGAACACCATGCTGCTCCTGAGATGGAAACCTGGCGAAGGTAGAGGTGCTGCACCCAGTTTTACTATCATTGCTAGTATTATTACTATTATTATTATTATTACTACTTCCATTATGAATACTTTATTATTATTATTATTTTTTTTTTTTAAAATTTTTATTTTTATTGTTATTATTGTTATTATTGTTATTATTGTTATTATTGTTATTATTAAATTATTGTTATTATTGTTATTATTGTTACTATTGTTACTATTGTTATTGTTATTATTGTTATTATTGTTATTATTGTTATTATTGTTATTATTGTTATTATTGTTATTATTGTTATTATTGTTATTATTGTTATCATTACAGAACAGGGGATCAGGGGAGTGCGCTAAATCCGCTACTTTGTGCAAAGCATTCTCTTCATTGGCAAAACCATTGAGCACAATCAATTTCTTCAATGCTGTCTGCACATTGCTCTTCTGCTTTGGCATCCAACTCACTATACAAAACAAAAAACACACAAAAGAAACAAAATAACGAAAAAAACAAAAACAAAAACAAGTCAATGGAGGTCCATGATTGGTTGAGACATAGGGTTAGTTTTTTGTGGTTTTCTCGAGGTTTTCATCAATTTCACTTCCGGCCTTTCCCTGAGATCAAATTTCATCCTCCAGACTTCGTTGTGTCTGTCTTCACATGTCGGCATGCAGGAACCAATCGTCAGAAAGAAAATTAGACTCCTAAAAGGGACCTCTCTGAACTAAAAAATCTATTTTTTTCGTTTTTTTTCCGTTTTCTGGGGGGGAAACCTTATTTTTTATTTTCTAGAAGAGGAAGGCCTGAATTCCTATTTTCTGGAGGTGGTGGCTCTGTTTGTGTAGTTTTCTTCTGACCAAGGAATACCACCATCTTTTCAAAGGAATGAACAAATATATTGCATCCTTTTCAAGGAAACTTGCATAAAGGCATGCTGCACTGTCCTCAAGGAATACCATGGTCCCTTAAAGTGCAACTGCTTATTCAAGAATACCCTTTCAAAATAATGCTATACTTTCTGCAAGGAATACTATACTTCTTCAAATGACAATTCCATGCATTGCGCTTTCTTACAATCATACCATACTCAGCCATACTCTTTCACAAGCACTACTGTGTGTCTTGAAGGCTATTTTATCAAAGGGATGCTACACACTTTAGAAAGGAATATTGTGTATAATTGTATATGTACATACATATTTAATAATATCATACAGTGAATTATGTTATTTGAAAATGATATTGTATTTTCCAAATGAATAATATTTTTTTTTGTTTCGAAGGAATATTGCATAACACCATTGTTTAAATCAATATTTCATGAAGCCATCAAGTACTGTCTGAAAGGAATGCCGCTTTTTTGAAAAACACTAATGTATATGCAAATTATATCTTTCAGAAATGTTACCCTTCTCAAAAAGGACTACTACAGAGGTCTCTATGGAAGGGATGACATATTTTTAGAAAATATATGGAAGACAAAACGCACTTGTTCTAAAGGAATGCTATGCACATCTCAGGGTCTTGCTTTGCACTTTCTCAAAGGAATGTTGCCCCCTCTGTAGAAGAATGTTGCATAGAGGTATGCCACAACTTCCTCAAGGAATGCCACATTCTTTTCAAATTTTCAACGATGACTTATGAGAAGCATGCTGTTGCCCGCAAAATCTGAGTTGATACTGTACTAGGGTTTAGAAATACAGCATTTTTCAAGGGAACAGTATGCTTGCCCTTGCAAAACATTCCATATCTCTCTTGGATGTAGGGAGCTCTGTCAGGAAGATGCAGTACTGCTTGGGGACAAAATGAAGTCTTCTGTCAATCAAAAGTGCTGTTTCCTCTTGTTCACGCTTGCTATAAAGACATGCAACATAGAAGCAAACACAACTCTATCATTGAGCATGGCGCAACCGGGCAAAATTTGAATTTCTCTCTGATATTCATTGGCTCAATACAATACAATATTTCATAGCAAAACTGGCTGTATTTTGGCATATTTCTACCAAATTAAATGGTCTCAGCTGTTTGGCGGGTTTGCTTTCAGGTCCTTGTAGTTTCTTGTCGCCTGATGTGCAAACTTGGATATGTACCGTACACACACAAGACTTGAAGCCAACAGTTCTTCCACAATACATACCTATGGATAGATAAGTATCTATATATGTATCTGTATATGGATGTATCATTGCCATTCTTATAGGGGTGTGATCTTGTTCATCCACAGGGGTAGCCAGTAGCAATGACATAGAATCGTTGAAAGCGTTATTTAGTTTCTCGTTGTGCATGTGCATTATGTTTTTTTCTTGCGACCCCAACTGGATGAAATTTTGAGGTATGCATATAGATGAGATCTTGCAGCAACATCGCTGGCAGATAGATGAGATCTTGAAGCAACATCAGTGAAAAGAACGCACTCCCACAGTCCCTCGCTCTCTATTATTGTTGTTATTATTATTGTTATTATTATTAGGTCATTGCCTGCGGCAAGCCCGCCGGCCATAGAGAGGTGAATCCAAGGGAGTGTGCTGTGCACCCTAGGTGAAAGCCGGAGAGAGAAGCAGAAGTGAAGAGAAGAAGAAGAGGAGAAAAAGACAGAGCCGTAAAACAGAAGCAGCTTGTGTAGGAAGTGCTTGCCGCAACAACCTATTGACCATATACCAAATTAGTACCGCCCCCAGTAAAGTAGCGCCAGGTAGTTGTAGTATAGTTGTAGTATAGTTGTAGTATAGTTGTAGTATAGTTGTAGTTGTAGTTGTAGCTGTAGCTGTAGTTGTACTTGTAGCTGTAGTATAGTTATAGTTATAGTATAGTTATAGTTATAGCCATAGCCATAGCTATAGTTATAGTTATAGTTAGGGGGTAGGGGAGGGGAGGGGGAGAGGGGGAGGGGGGTGGACACGATTCAGACGAAGCAAAAACGGGTAGAACAAGCACACACCAAGAACAGAAACAGGAACAGCACCTTTCAATCAGACACACCTGCCCGCCGGCAGATTATTTTTATTATTAATGATATTATTATTAAGCTTATTACTAATATTATTGTTAATGTTTATATTTTATATTATTATTACTATTATTACTACTATTTCTATGATAAGTATTGTTATTTCTTAAATTATTATTATTACTACAAGTACAATTATTTTTACAAAGAAATCGATAGTAGATTGACACAATTCCATTTTCGATCAAATTCTAGGCATCCTCAGAGCCCACAGCAAACGATGCTGTCAGATGAAACTGCCCTGCTGTGGGCCGCCGCCGAATCGCTTGGCACAGAAGCGCTGAGCCTGAAAAAGCAGGCCCTGAGATGTTCATTTCCATTTATTTCCATTTGTGAAACAGAATGAACAAACCATATCAAAGAAATCAAATAACAAAACTATGGAACAAAATGACAAACAGAACTGAACAAATAATGAAAAAAACACGAAAAATCCCAGAACTTTCACAGAAACTGCTCCGGTGGAAGGGTTTGGACACGAGGCACTCTTCGAGGAGCACAGGCTTCTCCTGTTCAAGTACGAGGCGCCCAAGGCCGGGAGCACCTGCACCTTGCAGCAGCCTCAAATTGGTTGGCCTCGTTTTTCTTTCAGGACGGCCAACGACCAGCTACGCCGGGGTCCCTATGCTCACTGTACTGATTCGAAATTCGATTGTGGATTGGTGTGTCCAAAGGGTCATCAACATGCGATGCCTGAGGCCTATACATACCAAGTGGAAGACAAGTGCTAGCAGCCCTCAGGCACAAGTGGTTTGCACATGTGAAACCATGGCCAGAGTCAGCAAGAGTAATTCTGTGACTACTTCAAGAAATTAGACCACGTTTGAGCTGCTGGTTGCGCTTTCTGGTTTTACAGGGAGATCTCGCAAAGATTATTGACACAAGCTTCCCAGCTGTGCTAAACGTCACCTTGTGCGCTCCCCAGACCGTCCTAAAACCTTGAGTATGCCTCAGACATGATGGTGGCGATGCGTTTTCAATGGCATAATATCCCAAGCCCGTCTTTCGAGTGCCCGGAAATTTTAGGTGCCTCCACGTTCATGCTCACACGGAACTGGCAAAGGCTCAAAACTCACAGCTGTTGACGTTTTGCAGCATGCTGGTGCAGGTCTAGTCAATACACATATATGTGAATGCCTTCAAAGTTACCAAGTCTCATCAAGTCTCCATAGCCATTTGACATGTTCTGTACATTCTGGCAGTCTTGATCTCAGGTTGGACAAAGTGGAGAGAAAGGCTCAAGCGAGGAGCGGTTTTGTGGAGCCGCTGGGTACCAAAGGGGGGCCAAATCTGAGCCGCTCTGAGGAGGCCGAATCGACCACACCACCTTCTCATCCACTCCCGGAGGAGTTCTCAGAGGCAGCTGATGTTTCATGGGAACAGGCTCAGAGAAACTGAATACAGTGACAGTTCAATACAATTGAATACAATTCAATATAAATTCAATTTCAATACAATCCCCTTGAGCATTTATCACACTTCCTTTGTTGTGGACTTTGGAATGGACAGCACGGGTTTGAAAGCCGCCAGATCGTTGGACCTTCCACTGATGCACGAGAAGCATACTTCGCTGGCCGATTCCTCAAAGCCAGCTGCAACTTGGATGCGGCTGCAACCTGGCGATGTGAGGTTGCAAGTGGTGGACAGATACCTTAGATTCATTTTATGGTCACCCTGCCCGGGACTTGGATCAACTTGGATCAACTTGGATCTGCATGACCAGCACGACAGCACGACTCACGCCGTGCTGCAAGGACAACATGACCGAGCTGGACGACGAGCATCATTCCAGTGCTGATTCCGCAGACCTCCCAACGGCTGATGCAGATGCAGAGGCATGATTTCGCTTCGCGTGCTTGGATAGACTCGGATAGACCATTCAACGAACCAGATTTCGGAAAGTTAAGACCCCCGAGGCCTGAGTCAATTCTAGTCTGAACTAAACTTATTTGCATTGCAAACTAGCAGCACACGAACCCTTTCATGTAATCACAATCATCAAGCCATGCTTTAGTGCAGGTTTCTTGGCCCCAAAGTTGAAAAACATACACACAGACCCAGGGACACATGAGACTTTGGTATATTGACGTCATGACGGGCATGACATGTTTGTTGGTTTTGCCTTCATTGTACGCACTCACTGAGCCAGGGCTCTGATTTGGCCTGAGTCATTGATGTAAGAGAGGTAGTGCCTTTCCTGCTCTAGAAATGACAATATCAAGACACATATTTATTTTCTTTTTGAATGGAAAATAAATTGCTTTCTTGGAGTATCTCTAGAAACAAGAACAACTCATTTGGCTAAAAGGTTGGATTTGGGCAGCGATCGGCAGATCTCCAAGCGTGAAGTGCATCAATACTGCACTTCTATTTCAAGAAGGCCCTGCTCGCAGCGGTGAAGCAGGTTGCCTATTTTTCTTGGGTCCAGGTACCAGCCCGGTACCCGGCATTTGTGAAATCTTGGCAGCTTACGTGGCCAGTGCAGCCTTGTATGAGCTGTGACGACGCAGATGAGGTGGTGTTATTGCGTTAAGAGTTGAACTTTGCTTGTCCAAGACTTTCCGTCATCAGCACTTGTACCACCTTATTGCGACAAAGGCCATACAGAAGGCAATTGGCTACTGGACATACTCATGCCTGCGAATGCCACCGGTCAAAAAGCAAGCACCGAAGATCACCGAAGCAAGACCTGAGGGAACCAATGTGTGTTTGTTTCCAATTTTGACAGACCCAGAATCTATATACCAAACTGGACTACTACGCATAGAATGGGAAACTCATTTTTAGGGTATCCTTTGTATTTGTCGAAACCCGTTGAATTCTATTTGGACTTTCAGTGCCCTTCTGAGCGTGCAAGACGAGATGATGCAAAACATGGCATGTGTGATCGGCCTGATGGTTCTACAGACACTCGGCCTGATTTGCTGCAGCTGTTTGCAGCCACTTTGCATAGGACTTGACAGATCCGGCATAGGCTTCTTCCTGTGGAATCTCTCCCATCTGCTTTCCGACATGTTCTTGATTCATGGATGATATTCATGGATTCCTCGGAAGTGATCAACCTGAAGTCTCAATTGGCATTTGCATTTTCCAGCTGCAACAGTTTTGCGCAGCGCTTCCACCAGGTTGCACGGCACCATTTTTTTTGTCCCATGGTGTGATTTACCGCCTGTGCGGCACTGTGCGATGTGCAATGCCGCCTCGCAAGCTGAAACGCAGTGCAACTTGGTCCAAGCTGTTGAGGCTTCCAAAGATTCCAAAGGAAGTCGAAGGACTTCAGACTTCATTGAGACAGTTGATAGTTGATACATCAACCAAATAATTCAGCAAAGGCCCCAAAGCCTTTGCACCAGTGTGCATTATAAAGCATCCTTCATTGCCTGACCGTGATATGATTCGAGCCAGTCAGGTGTCTGCGGATGTAGAAGGCAGACCCAGTAAGGCCGGCGGTTTTGAACAGCAGAAACTGGATCGCACCGTAGGGAGACATTGAAAGACACCTTTTGAATCCTTTTTAGTTGTCCAAAAATGGGAACTACCTCAGATGTCATCAGACTAGCACGACATTGCCATTTTAATGAGGAAGATGATCACAAACCATAGATTTTATAGGTCACCCTATAGACAAAAAGCCACATTGATGGCATCAGTGATGGCGAGGCCCCTGCAGAGATTGCAGTTTCAGGGCTGGATTCTGAGCCGGCAGAAGCTGCAGGACGGTACCAAAGGATTCACGGGTTCCCACTTGACACCAGACATGTTGATCAAAGGTAAAGTGTCAAGTGGGGTACTAATGGAGCCACAAATGGTCCGTCATTTGATGGACCTTAGACCATCTACTTTGGTAATTCCCCCATTTTGTTTAGCGATGATTAACACTTTTAAATCCCCATGGCCATCGACCTATGCCGCCGGCGCCACCAGGAGCTTCCAAAGAAGCTGGTGACGCTGGTGACGCTGGTGATGTCAAGATCAGTCGATTTGCCAACCAGGACCTTGCAGTGATATGATATACCTGATATACATGTGATAAAATAGCAACTTTAAGGGACAATATGACAATACACCAATTGTCTTTTGTAACCATGGAACCGAGTTTATCCAGTCTTGGACAAATCCACTTGGACCTTGACGCATTACGGTTGAACATGAACTGGATTTAAATGACCTTCCTGTGCCACAGGACCTTGTTCGAGATGTTGTGATTGGCTATACTGGGGATGAGGATGAGGACCCGCCTCAGGCCTGCCGTGTTTGATGCTTCACATGGATTTGTCACTGGGATCCTGAAGCATCAAGATAGATCAAGATGACGTTACAATCATTCGAATCAGAATCCGCACCAAGGTATTGTCATCTAGATCACAACATATCACAACTAGCGCTTGGCATTTACACATGATGCTGACCCAAAATGGTGGCACTGCTGTTGTCGTGGAAGGCGGGCTCTTCAAAGGAGCGTCATAACCGAGACGTCCAGCAGATGATTTCTGAAGGTTTGGATGTCCCGATTGCCAAGGCAGAGTCAGTGCATGTCAACACACCTTAGGAATGTGTGAGGACTTGTGAGGGCAGGGGCCGAAGAGCTGTTGTTGGAGCAACTTGATATTCGTGAAATATTTTATTGAATCGAACGACCGGCGAACCTGTTTCTTTCATGGCTTTTCATCTCTTTGTAGAGGATCAACGCTCGAGCTATGTGTGGGTCGCAGCGTCCAAAGTCCCGGAAAATCAAGGACTTTCATGTTGTGCGTAGCTTCCCTGTTTTGCAGTTGTTCGCTCCCGAGAGGTCTCTATCACCCTTTTTACCTGATGTGAATTGAACAAAGCCAGTAAAGATTCGATTCAACTGAAACATGCTTTTCCCTCGCTCTGAGGAGTTGAAGGAAATATTGAGATGCGGAAGAAAAAATACACATGGAGACTTGGCAGACACGACTTTCTTTTGAGACCGTTTCAACATGGAGCGCCTTGCCTAGGCCTAGTCCTCCGCTGTCAACACTGTGCGGTCTTCTCCAGCAGATTGTTGTGCTTCCCCGCGCTGAGGAATCCTGAAGAAATTCAACCAGTGGACGCTGTGCGGTCAAAGCAGCTTCGGTGTGATATTTGCGGAGCTCTTTGCACCGAGGTGGACATGACTAGATAAATGACAAATGACCGTTCACCCAGACTCAGTCCTGCCGAAAATCAAACGAACTTGTTAACGTTGTGCGAAAACTGGAACAGAGCCAGAGCCTTTCTTCACCTTGTCGTTTCCCCTGCCTTGGCATCACACACCGCAGTCTTTTTTTCCGATGTTGATGTATATCGTAGATCATGCCCAAAGTGAGCTCGAATTTATGCCCAAAGTGAGCCCCTTGCCTCGTAGATCCACTTTCCCTCAGTAGACCTGGACTTGGCTGAAGGTGCTGTACGAGTTCCGCTGCTACAAGCGCATGCGGCCAGATGAGCCTCGTTCTGTAGGAAGACGACTCCACCCTTTTGTGAGTCTGCTGTCTTGGCATGAGCTCGCTGTGGTGAGTTTACCGAGTTTTCCATGTTTGCTAGTGCTCAAACAAGATGAACAATTGCTTTTCGGTGGACTTCTACAGTCATTGAGGCTATATTTCCAAAGAATGTGGACAAGGGCTTCTAGGCCAGAGACAAGGGCCTCAGAGTCCCCTTGTAGCACGATCTGTTCGTTTCGCTCGATTCGTTCGCACTGTTCGTTTGACACTGCCACCTTCAGAGCTTGCCACCTTCGCCAGGCAATCCCAGTGGAGCTTCCAAGCTGAGAGAGCGATGGAGACTCAGACGTCCCCGGTCGTCCCTGTGCAAAGTTGTGCAAAGCTCCGTGCAAAGTTGTCTCTTCAAAGCGATGGATATTTTGGATTTCAAGGGGTTCAAGGGGGTTCAAGGGGTTCAAATTTCAACCCGGGACCTTAGGCATCTACCGACTCCTGATGGACACAGATGGTTTGTCAGCTGTGGAAGAGCTTGAGGCGATGCAAAAGCACGAAAAATGTGTAAGCAGTCGAAAAGAAACAGTCGAACACTTTACATCACTTTACATCACTTTACATCACTTTACATCACTTTACACTTTGTTTCTCGGGGCAGGAAGTCTGGCGCCTTGGTAATGAGACGATGAGACAGGTGCTGACCTTGTCATGTCAACTTCACACCTTCTCTACTGCAATCCGTCATTGCTTTGCTGTTCCCTTAGAGTTCCCTGTGCAGCTGTGGAGATCCCAAAGATCAAAAGTACTGTATTTCACTCACTGGAGCCATGGAGAGTCCATCCGAGCGTCCCCGAAAGCGTCATAGGACCGATGTCAAAAAAGATCAAGTTGCACGTTTTGACACAATGTATATATTGCATTTGTATTGCTGTATTGCTTTCAGATGCTTTCAGTTAGTGTCAGATTTGATGCTGGCAGGAATGCAGATGCTTCAACCGCTGAGAGGCTTTCAACAGATGGCCAGTCGTCCGCGGACTGTTTGCAGTTCCCTCCAGCATATTCTGTACTTGATTAGTGTAAAGATTAGTGTAAAGCCATGTAAACCCAGTGGGTCGGGCAGGCCGTCGACAAAACAAGCGGCAAGCAAAGGCGAGGATGCATCACCCCAGATTTATTTCAGAGTTGTCAGTGGAAAAATTGTTGTCCAAAGGCTTCAAATTTGCACTTGCTCGAGCGCAATGTGAGGGATGGCTTGCTATACTTTAGAAGACTTGGAAAGTGTCGAGTTCACCTGGACCATCATTGATGGACAGCTCTTGGTGGCTTGCCTGCAGATCGCGGTGGCTTCACCAGGGGATTTTGCTCTGAATTCTGTCCATTTCTGTCCTGAAAGGCACTGGATGGATTCATTTCTGCCCATCCTGGCGGATCACTGATACAGCGAGCTGTGGGAACAGATGCCAGCAGCTTGTTCCATGCCCACCACACTTCCGATCTCGCGCGAGCTGTCCTGGCAGAGTGCTTGGTTGGATATGTGAAGCAACACCGTGTGGAGGCCAGAGACAGAGCTGGTGGGTGTTTGAAGGATCTCATGTCAGGACGGTTCAGGACGGTTGGGACAGTTTGGAAGCCTGGTAGATTTCAGTGAGGCTCAGAGTCTTCGAGCTGAGCTCAACAAAAGGATCGGAAAATACATGAAGCCTGAGACACCTGCAGCTGAGGCGCGACATGCCAATAGGTTCAATAAGAATCAATAAGATTCATTGATCTAGTGTGGCAGCTTGATCTGTGAAATAAGATCCTCAGCAAACCCATCAGGCCATTGCTATATCGATGCTGGGGCTTTTCGTCGTGTGGTGCTACTTTGTTTATGTACAGGGCATCTTGTTTGCACAGCATCATGCTCTTCTGCAAGAAAGGAACCTATGGCTAGTGACGGCTATGTAGTGAATCCTTATCACCCACCCGGCCCACCCGGAGTCACTGGAAGTGAGGTTTCTTCTGGCTGAACGTCTTCACGAGCTGGTTCTGGTGGAGACACTTGGACGCTGGATTGCATGCCGACACCTGGCTGCAGCTGAGGTTAGATGAGGGTTTCCATAAATGGGGGTACCTCTAAATCATCCACTTTAATGGGATTTTCCCTTATAAACCATCCATTTTGGGGTACCCCCATTTATGGAAACCCCCAGATGAGCTCACAGATGGAATTTGCTTTGGTCCTATGACAGTCAAACGGAGCCACGCTGCTGCGAATTTCATCAGGTGGTGCACGGGGACTTCAGATATTCGTTGATTTTGCAGCGACGACTACTACAAGTCTATGGCTTGCTTTGTCATCACATGTTGGACCATTATCAAGGCCGGGTGAGCTCTATGGAAGTGTATTTGGAGTTATTAAAGTTCCTTTGATCACAAATGCTGCAGATGTTGTCGCCCAGGTAGCCAATCAAGCCTTTCCCAACATTTTGAGCATCACCTCTTCACAAACGACTTCCGCAAAGATCCGGACTGGACAGTCTTCGCTGTTGGCCGGAACTGGATTCGTCGTCATGCATGCAATGCATGGCAGCCCTACAATGCTTGGCAGGTTGGGCTGGTTGTGTTTGACAAATCTGACGAATCTGTTGGTTACGCATTTGGACTTCTTGGCCCCGAGAGGTTTTTTACTGGCTTCCAATGCGGTGTCTTGTGGAGCCGGTGACAGAATCTTGACACATATGAAGTGCTTTGTGCCATGTGTGCTGCAATCTTTTGGAGCTCTAGAAAGCTCTGGTCTTGGAAGCCAGGAAATCCTGACTATGGGCTCCACCTGCCTCAATGGGGCTTCTCAGGCCTGGCATGTCCCGAAACAAAGACAGCTTGCCGCATCCAGCTGGGCAGATGTTTGAAGCTCCTGCGGGCCTTGACAAGTTCACCGACCGGCTGAAGGATGTGATGTCTTGGTGGATCGAGGCTGGCTGACCAAAATCTTGCCTGGAGCTTGTACATTCAAATATATTCAATTTTATTCAAGCGTCTAAAATCCTATGAATATAGGTATAGAATGGTATAGATATAAATAGATCAAGATAAATATTGTAATACAAATAGTATGTGTGTATGTGTGTATGTGTGTATGTGTGTATGTGTGTATGTAATGTAATGCAATGTAATGTAATGTAATGCAATGCAATGCAATGCAATGCAATGTAATGTAATGTATGTAATGTATGTAATGTATGTAAGGTATGTAATGTATGTATATATACTTTATACTGTACACATGCAAATTTAATTCATTCAAGACCCGATGCGAGTCACTTGTAGGCCTTCCTGAGTCCAGGCTACCAGGGTGCAGCTTTCTTGTTGCAGTTGGAAGCCAAGTGGGGGATGTGGACAGAGAAAATGCCCACTGGGCGCGACAAGTTGCAGAGACCCACATTTCGTGCCTCGGAGGCCAACTGGGCGCGCATTTGGAGCCCTGCTACTGAGCAGAGCAGTTGCAAAGTTGGTGCTGCTGCCGTTTGCAGAGGCCAGGTCAGATCAGAGACACTCAAGAGGTCAATTTTTTGGAGAGAGAGAGAGGCACAATTAAACTAGATGTGGATTGGTACACCAAAGTTTCAGACGTGCCCCGTAGGTTCAGCACTTTTTGATGCCGCCCTCTCGGGATCTCTCAGGAAATAGGGAATCGTATGAGATTTGTATAGATTTGATTTGTCTCATTTTTTGTCTGCCATATCCTCGATCCTGACAGCAAAGGCCTGACGAGATGTCCAAGGATGAGGAACGTGCAGAGTTGTCGACAACAGACTTAACATATTCAGCATGGTGACAACATGTTCGCTGAAATATTTGAAATGTCTTTGCTTCCTGGCTGCGTATTGTGAGGAGTTTGTTTTGCGACAGCTTCGAACGACTGCCAACCTGCGGCTGGCAAACTCTGTGGTTCGATTGCTAGACTTCTTGATGCACGGCCCCCAATTTTCTTTCCACAGTGTTCAAAAGTACGAGTTGGTCTTCTTCAGCTTTCTGAGGTTTCATGGGGATAGTTTGCAGGCTGGGTGGATTCTGCGCGCAGGGGACTGCTGGAAATCTGTCTCCTGTGGAGGTGGAACATCACCTGTGGCCAGCTATGAGCTTCATCCATTTGCGAGAAGTCTCCCAGGTTCTAAAGAGCGCATGCAAGGAGTTTCCTGGCAAACTTGGGACTGGTAGAACAGTTATGAACAGTTCGTGCCAGCAAGTCCGGAAAGGACGAAAAAGTTATGAGTGTGCAGGATACGTGCAGTATATCTTGTGTACATGTATGTTTGTATGTATATATATATATATATACATAATATATAAAATAATATATATATATATTATATTTATATTAAAAATATTTGTATGTTCTTGGATAAGCGAAGAGGGCTTGTTTGATGTGGTTTCTTTGAATGAGTTTGCATCCTTGAAAATCCAAGGAAAATCAGGTCGAAATCCTTCTTGAGTATTTCTTTGATCTGTTTAGCTTTAGTTTCCTTTTTGTTTTTTGCGGAGGTTCAGTGCATGACAAGTGTGGTTAGGACATGGATTTTGGAACAACAACCTCCAGCAGCCAAAAGGGAAACTGGGAAAAAGTTAGCTTGTTTACACATTCGTGCAGCTGAGTGCAGGGTGGGTCAGTGGACTTCTTTACTCTAGTTTTCTTCTGTTTTTTCTAGCTTTCTTTAGCCTAATGTAGTTTTCTTCAATTTTGTTGGCTTCATCTAGCTCTTCCTTTATGATCTAGAGCGGCCCTGATCAAAACAGCGGTGTAGGGGATTCAATGATATATTGAATATTAAAGGGCTCCGCCCCCTGCCGCCGACCCCTGGGCATATCTTCTGTGGCGCGTGAGCAACTGCGCCATGGTGACTTGTCCGACAATAACCATCGCTTTCTGCACGGGCGGCCTACCACAGTGCTAGGCAGCTGGATTGCTGGGCAGGCGACGTGCCAACAACCAAGTTGCGCCGCGTTGCCTACACAAGGCCTAATTCCAGAAGCCATACAAGAGGCCGAATGCAGCTACTGTGCGGCGGATCGCCGTTCGCGCATACTTGTGGCGCAAGGAGCTGCGGACACACGGTTCCCAGAAGGAATTTGCAGATGCGGTCGCGATTTTCGGCACCAACGACATCAAATACCACGTGAACAAGCTTCGCGCCATACAGTGGGCGAATGCCAGAGACAAGCAACCGTATTTATTTGTTGCGCAAGATGTTGCGTCGTCTGTGGTCGTGCAGGAGAAGCCGAATTTGACGACGGAGAAATTGCAATGGTTGCAGCGACACGACAAAGAGTGCGGTGGACTGTACGGCGTGTTGCCGTTGTGCGTCGGCATGCCTGTCCGTGCAACAGATCACCTCGACCGGAAGCGTGGCATTCTAAAAGGCACCAAGGGCTACGTCGTCGGTTGGTCCACGATTGCCAATGAGACGCCTGCGCCGGAAGGAGTCGTGTGCAACACTTTGCCGGCCGTAGTGTATGTGAGGTTTGAAACCGCAACCTCATGGCATGTGCCAGGTCTGCCGGATGCAAACGTATACCCCGTCGGAACTTGCAGGCGTGTGTGGTACTTAGACCGGCAACGCCAACGCCCCAAGCTGCGTGTATCGCGGACGCAATTCCCGCTCGCACCCCAGTTCGCCATCACCGCGCATGTGGCGCAAGGACAGACCATCAAAGAGGGGGTGATGACGGATCTTTGTATAGGTCCCACAGGAAATCCCTTCACGGTCTATGTCGCGATCACTCGCGTCACAGGACGCGAAAAATTGTTGATTTTTCGACCTTTTGACGCCGCTCCATTCCAAAAGGGAATTGGTTTGGGCCGAGACCTTCTTCTGCGACACCTTCGAGGGGATTTCATCAACTGGCAATCGTTGTTGGCCAAATACTGCGAAGAACGTCGGTGTGCAACCTGTACGGAACGCAAGCCAGCAGCAGCCTTCACGACCGGTCAATGGAAGCGCGAGGACAAGGATCGCGTCTGTCGCGAATGCACAAAGCACTACGCAGACGCAGGAACGCCGTGGCAATGCAACGTTTGCAAGCTGTGGCATGCCGAAGACAATTTTCCAGCAAAGCATCGTCAACGGCAGTGTAGTTTTTTTCGTGTGTGTTTGACATGTGAAGTGAAGAAACCTTGTTTCAAGTGTGGCGTTGTGAAAGCAGAATCCGACTTTGGCGCAGCCGCATGGAAAGCTCGCAACGCGGATCGCCGCTGCTGCAGAGAATGTGCCACCAAACTACGCGGCTGTTGGCAATGTCGCCAGTGCGCGGAACGCAAGCCACGAACAGAGTTTACAGCTTGGCAACAAGGTCGTGAATATACTCAAAACGGCACACAAGTATGCAACGCATGCACAGCCTTTGCCTTCGTTTGCCGTCTTGCTCATCGCACGAATCAACGCCTGGCCCGCTTGCGCCAACGCGAAACCCGCCACCGGCACGCAGCAATCCTAGAGGACGTTCGCAAGGAAATTCAGGAAATACACGAAGCAAGACAAACTTCCACGCGAGCAGAAGGTCCCAAAACGGACACTGCCCACTCATCGAACCAGCAGCTTGCTGTCGGGCCTGACACAGCACCGCCACGACTGCACATATACATCTGCCCGTACTGTGCCAAGTCTGTGCAAAGCCCTGTGGCAACAGGGCGCGTCGATCACCGCCGCGGTAATGGCTGCGGCAAACAATTTCGCGTTACCAATGGCCTGCTCGCAGGTCGCACATATTCGCATGCATGTCCAACATGCGGCACGGTGGTGCACTCAACACTGGCTTCCGGCCGAATTCGGGTAACGCATCGCAATCCCAGCGGCCGGCAGTGTCGCACCAACCAGTGGCGCGTGCATACCTGATGAAGTTTCCAGCTTAAGGTCGCCGCACCGCACGGCAATGCCCCACATTGCTTTCTGAACCTACAAGAAAAGTAGCCGTCTTCCAGCTTTCCAAGTTCAGAAACGGCGCCTCCGCCACGCCCAAACAGCAGGGCCCTGAAGGACGGACCGAGCCTCCGGGCAACGGCTCCCACTGCCTAACGTTGCTTTCTGAACCTACAAGAAAACTAGCTCTCTTCCAGCCGTCAAAGCTCACAAACGGCGCCCTCGCCACAACAAAACAGCAGGGCCCTGAAGGACGGACCGAGCCTCCGGGCAACGGCTCCCAAACTAGCTCTCTTCCAGCCGTCAAGGCTCACAAACGGCGCCTCCGCCACGCCCAAACAGCAGGGCCCTGAAGGACGGACCGAGCCTCCGGGCAACGGCTCCCACTGCCTAACGTTGCTTTCTGAACCTACAAGAAAACTAGCTCTCTTCCAGCCGTCAAGGCTCACAAACGGCGCCCTCGCCACAGCAAAACAGCAGGGCCCTGAAGGACGGACCGAGCCTCCGGGCAACGGCTCCCAAACTAGCTCTCTTCCAGCCGTCAAGGCTCACAAACGGCGCCTCCGCCACGCCCAAACAGCAGGGCCCTGAAGGACGGACCGAGCCTCCGGGCAACGGCTCCCACTGCCTAACGTTGCTTTCTAGCTCTCTTCCAGCCGTCAAGGCTCACAAACGGCGCCCTCGCCACAGCAAAACAGCAGGGCCCTGAAGGACGGACCGAGCCTCCGGGCAACGGCTCCCACTGCCTAACGTTGCTTTCCGAACCTACAAGAAAACTAGCTCTCTTCCAGCCGGCAAGGCTCACAAACGGCGCCCTCGCCACAGCAAAACAGCAGGGCCCTGAAGGACGGACCGAGCCTCCGGGCAACGGCTCCCAAACTAGCTCTCTTCCAGCCGTCAAGGCTCACAAACAGCGCCTCCGCCACGCCCAAACAGCAGGGCCCTGAAGGACGGACCGAGCCTCCGGGCAACGGCTCCCAGTGCCTAACGTTGCTTTCTGAACCGACAAGAAAACTAGCTCTGTTCCAGCCGTCAAGGCTCACAAACGGCGCCCTCGCCACAGCAAAACAGCAGGGCCCTGAAGGACGGACCGAGCCTCCGGGCAACGGCTCCCAAACTAGCTCTCTTCCAGCCGTCAAGGTTCACAAACGGCGCCTCCGCCACGGCCAAACAGCAGGGCCCTGAAGGACGGACCGAGCCTCCGGGCAACCGCTCCCACTGCCTAACGTTGCTTTCTGAACCTACAAGAAAACTAGCTCTCTTCCAGCCGTCAAGGCTCACAAACGGCGCCCTCGCCACAGCAAAACAGCAGGGCCCTGAAGGACGGACAGAGCCTCCGGGCAACGGCTCCCAAACTAGCTCTCTTCCAGCCGTCAAGGCTCACAAACGGCGCCTCCGCCACGCCCAAACAGCAGGGCCCTGAAGGACGGACCGAGCCTCCGGGCAACGGCTCCCAGCGCCTAACGTTGCTTTCTGAACCGACAAGAAAACTAGCTCTCTTTCAGCCGTCAACGCTCACAAACGGCGCCCTGGCCACAGCAAAACAGCAGCGCCCTGAAGGACGGACCGAGCCTCCGGGCAACGGCTCCCAAACTAGCTCTCTTCCAGCCGTCAAGGCTCACAAACGGCGCCTCCGCCACGCCCAAACAGCAGGGCCCTGAAGGACGGACCGAGCCTCCGGGCAACGGCTCCCACTGCCTAACGTTGCTTTCTGAACCTACAAGAAAACTAGCTCTCTTCCAGCCGTCAAGGCTCACAAACGGCGCCCTCGCCACAGCAAAACAGCAGGGCCCTGAAGGACGGACCGAGCCTCCGGGCAACGGCTCCCAAACTAGCTCTCTTCCAGCCGTCAAGGCTCACAAACGGCGCCTCCGCCACGCCCAAACAGCAGGGCCCTGAAGGACGGACCGAGCCTCCGGGCAACGGCTCCCACTGCCTAACGTTGCTTTCTGAACCTACAAGAAAACTAGCTCTCTTCCAGCCGTCAAGGCTCACAAACGGCGCCCTCGCCACAGCAAAACAGCAGGGCCCTGAAGGACGGACCGAGCCTCCGGGCAACGGCTCCCAAACTAGCTCTCTTCCAGCCGTCAAGGCTCACAAACGGCGCCTCCGCCACGCCCAAACAGCAGGGCCCTGAAGGACGGACCGAGCCTCCGGGCAACCGCTCCCACTGCCTAACGTTGCTTTCTGAACCTACAAGAAAACAAGCTCTCTTCCAGCCGTCAAAACTTCAAAAACGCTCTTCCAGCCGTCAAGGCTCACAAACGGCGCCTCCGCCACGCCCAAACAGCAGGGCCCTGAAGGACGGACCGAGCCTCCGGGCAACGGCTCCCACTGCCTAACGTTGCTTTCTGAACCTACAAGAAAACTAGCTCTCTTCCAGCCGTCAAGGCTCACAAACGGCGCCCTCGCCACAGCAAAACAGCAGGGCCCTGAAGGACGGACCGAGCCTCCGGGCAACGGCTCCCAAACTAGCTCTCTTCCAGCCGTCAAGGCTCACAAACTGCGCCCTCGCCACAGCAAAACAGCAGGGCCCTGAAGGACGGACCGAGCCTCCGGGCAACGGCTCCCAGTGCCT